CAGTAAAAGCCAAAGCAAATTGAAAATTCTGCAGGAACAGAAGACCACCTTACAAACTCTGATGAGTCAGAAGAAAAAGACATCTCAGAAGATCCTCCTATTGAAAATGCTCTGGAAAATCTAAGAATTTCTGAACAATCCTCACAAAATAAATTTCCCAGAATCACATCCGCACACCCAGAAAATGTGATTATAGGAAAGAAAGAAGATCCCATCAGAACAAGATCCTCCTTCAGAAACAATGAAGAATCACTATTTGGATTGGTCTCGCTGATTGAGCCCACTTCAATAGATGAAGCTCTGATGGATAATGATTAGATCCTAGCTATGCAAGAGGAATTAAATCAATTTTCAAGAAATGATGTGTGGGATCTTGTTCCAAAACTAAAAGGATTTAATATCATTGGAACTAAATGGGTCTTCAGAAACAAGCTGAATGAGCAATGAGAGGTTGTCAGAAACAAAGCACGACTAGTGGCTCATGGTTATAGTCAACAAGAAGGAATTGATTATAATGAAACCTTTGCCCCAGTCGCCAGGTTAAAATCAATTAGATTGTTAATTTCTTTTGTTGTTCAACACAACATCTCATTATATCAAATGGATGTTAAAAGTGCCTTTTTAAATGGTTACATAGAAGAAGAAGTTTATGTCCACCAACCTCCGAGTTTTGATGACTCAAAATTTCCAAAACATGTTTTCAAATTGAAAAAGTCTTTGTACGGTCTGAAACAAGCTCCCAGAGCTTGGTATGAACGTCTGAGTAACTTTCTTTTAGAAAAGAATTTTACCAGAGGCAAAGTGGACACAACCTTATTCAGAAAAACATTTAAAAATGACATTTTAATCTGTCAAATATATGTTGATGATATTATTTTTGGAACTTCTAATGTCTCTCTTGGAAGAGAATTTGTTGAATCTATGCAGGCTGAATTTGAGATGAGCATGATGGGAGAACTAAAATTCTTTCTGGGAATTCAAATAAATCAAACGCCAGAAGGTACCTACATACATCAGACAAAGTATGTCAAGGAACTTCTGAAGAAATTCCAGCTATCAGAAAGTAAACAAGCAAAGACCCTAATGCATTCCACATGCACTATGGGAAAAGATGAGGTAAGTAAGAAGGTAGATCAGAAACTCTACAGAGGTATGATTGGATCTCTTCTCTATCTGACTGCATCTAGACCAGATATTCTATTTAGTGTATGTCTATGTGCTAGATTCCAATCAGATCCTAGAGAATCTCACTTAATTGCTGTTAAGCGAATTCTGAGGTATCTGAAAGGTACTACTAACCTTGGACTGTGTTACAGAAGATCCAAAGATTTTAAACTAGTAGGTTATTGTGATGCTGACTTTGCTGGAGATAGAATAGAACGCAAAAACACCTCTGGAAGCTGTCAGTTTCTGGGTGATAACGTCATCTCATGGTACAACAAGAAGAAAGCTACTATTGCACTATCAACCACTGAAGCTAAATATATATTTACTACTGGATGTAGCACTCAGATAATCTGGATGAAGAGCCAGTTGGAAGATTATCATCTATATGAAAGTAAGATTCCTATCTTCTATGATAATACCTCTGCTATCTGTCTCTCAAAAAATCTCATCTTACATTCTAAGGAAAAACATAAAGAAATCAAACATCATTTCATAAGGGACTACATTCAGAAGGGAATTTTAAACTTAAATTTTATATACACAGACCATCAATGGGCTGACATTTTTACCAAACCCCTTGCTGAAGATAGATTCAAATTCATTCTGAAAAACATCAACATGGAATTTTTCCTGAATAAAATTTTTTTTTCTATATGTGTTTCCAGAATATTCTGATTGACTGCTCTTCAGAAGTTAGAAGAGGAGTTACATCAGAAGCCATTCATCATGTTTTGAAATGTGTCTAAAATTTCATTACTAGAATGGTCAGAAGTTCATTATATTAAACCAGTTGTCTCACGCTACCCTCAGAAGTTGAACGCGTGTTTCAATTCTGAAAGGTCACGCATGTGTGCACTGCTATTGAGACGTCGTTCCTAGGTAACTGTTCAGATTTGATCAAAATCACGCATCCCCTTAAATGTCAAATCTCATTAACTGTCTATAATTATTATGTTTTTTAAATCGTTTCCAATTCTTAAACTATTCATTATTTTAAAGATTCTTTTTAGCTATAAATACCCTTGCAAAATCCCTGTTCTATTTTTTACTTTCTTTCTCAAACTTCAAACCACCTCTACAGTTTTGTGCAAACTCTCTCAACTCCCTTCTCAAATTCTAAAACCTAAACGCTCAAATGGCTTCATCTTCTGCTTTCCCTTGTTTCTCGTCGCTCTTAGATTTTATTTCTATTTTTTTTTTCTTGTTGTTTTTTGTTTTGTAACTCTGTTTTCTTTTGAATCTTCAATATATGACATTTTTGGATTTCTTTACATTTTTTACTTTTTGATTATGACAAAAAGGGGGAGAAAATGAGATTTTGATATGATCCATGAAACAGTTATGGGACTAAGTCTCAAACATTTCTAACGAAATATAAAGTTTTTTTTCTTTCTGTTTAAGAGATATGCAGGAATTCAAGAAACTCTGAAAGACTAAGCTCGGAACATCATCAGGAAAAGAATTACTAAAGAAACTCTGAAAGAAAAAGTCTAAAAGCTCTGAATAACAAATCTTAGGAAGTTTCCCTTATGCTTTTTAATTATTCTTTATTTCAGAAGAAGAAATATCAATCTCAGGAGGAGATTATCTATCTCAGGGGGAGATCCTCATACTTGCACAATATTTCTTTTTAATCAAAATTTGAATTGTTTTGTCATCATCAAAAAGGGGGAGATTGTTAGAACAAAGTTTGGTTCTAATCATATCTTAGAGTTTTGATGATAACAATGAAATAAATTTTGTGATATATATTTTATACTCTGACTTGTATGTTCTCTAAGATCAGATGAAGTTCTGTCTTACGCATCTTAGAAAGAAACACCATTCTATGCAGGTATAAAGCAAACTCAAAAGGAAGCACTTCAAAGCAAACTCTGATGAAGAGTAATCCTAAGAAACTTCTGATAAAGCTAGCTGAAGCAAAGATCTGATAGAAGCATGCTGAAAGAAACATCTGATAAATGCAAGATTAAAGCAAACTCTGATGATCACATATTGAAGAATACTCTGATATAAGAATAGATCTAGTAAACTCTGAATTAGCAACGCTGCAAGCAAACACTTCAACTTTCAGAGACAAGCTCTGACAGTACCATTGGTTATTAAATGCTAAGACAACTAACACACTCAAGTATACTATGCACAGTAGAATTGGAAACATAAAGACCAAATCTACTCGCTACACGCATCATTGCAATCACGCTTCATTAAATGCATGCACCATCATCAAGGCATTAACGGTCAATTGGAAGCTATATATATATAGAAGACCTTTTGTATCAAAAAAAGGTTACTGACTTACGTGAAATATACTTACACTCACTGTTTTCATACTTGTAAACTAATATTGTATAGTGGATAGTTCTTAAGCATTGGGAAATAATCTTAGTGAAAAATCACAGTTGTGATAAAGCTTTTTAGAAGCAAATCTTTTTCACTACTATTAAGAGACAATTTTGTAAGTGTTCCTTGAGAGACCAGTTGGGTCAGATTTCTCAAGAGAGCTAGGACTAGTTGCGTCTTAGAGGTTTTAGTCACTTGCAGTTAGCTTGTGCATTGTATTATTAGTCACACCAGTTTGGTTGTGCGCTTGTAATCAGTTTGATTATAGTGGATTAAGTCCTCGTTGAGAGAGGCGAAATCACCTTGGCGGGTGGACTGGTGTAGTTTGAGTTTCAAACGAACCAGGATAAAATTACCAGTGTCCTTCCATTAGTATTGCGCTAGAAAAGAAGAAAAACTTATTCAACCCCCCTTCTAAGTGTTTTCTCAGTCTTCATTTGGAACACTGCAGAACCGAGAATCAGATTGCAGACATCATGACGAAGGGAGTGCAGGTCAAAGTATTCAGAAGACTAAGAGCCATGATGAATATAGATAATTTAGATACAATGAATTAGGTGATGTGTTAAATTATAATTCACAGTGTCAAAACTATGGTGTGTCGAAGAGCACACAAATTAGATTTGTTTTAGATTTAAATAGATCTGATTTAGATCTAAAATAGATAGATTTGATTTAGTACTAAAATAGGTATTTTGTGCTTTTATAGTTTTGGACTTTGAGTTAACCAAAATCTATAAATAAGGAGTAACCCCTAAGTTTGTAATCAAGTCAATTAAGTTGTATTCACAGAATTTACAGTTGTAAGTGAATAACAAAGTTTTTCACATTTTATGGACAGAGAGAAACTCTGCAGAAAATAATTGTCTTCTTTCTTTTCTTTTCTCATAACTCATTGTCATTGTGTAGTGATATCAATTTTAAATATCAAGATTGATAGAAATTCATCATAGATATTTGGTGGATTTCCAACGAATAATAATCAAAGTCGGCAAATTGCGGTGGAGAGAGATGCCGAAAGTTTTTTCTTTTTTTTTACGGAAAGTTTAAAACCAATATTGTTATACAAGTGAAAACATATTAATACTATTAGGGTAATGCTGGAAATCTAAAAATGGAAAGTTTATCCTTAAAAGGCAATGAAAATATTAATTATCAATTTTAATTAACACAATGCACAATTTTCAACAATTTTTTTCATATTTAACTCTTGATATAAACTCTTAGAGCACTTAGAGCACATGTTAGCATTATCCATATTATTATACTAAAAAAAATTCTAGTATCCTTCTTAATAAAATTAACATACAAATTAAATAAAAATTTAACAATAATTTTGATATTATTACAATATTATACATTATATTCAAACCTGTAAGGAAATTATACATTATACAATTATACATCATCGAACTTACATTATAAATCAAAGCAAGAGTTTAATAAATGAAATGATGTAAAATCAAGGATGTGCTGCATGGTTTGGTATGTTACTTCTTCCATTGAGGAATCCTTTGAACAACTACCTAAAAACCCAACATAGCAAATACATGAATCCATTATAACTACTCTACTTTAATCAAAATCAATCATGATTAACATTGGAATTAGAATTATTTCATTCTTTAAGGAAAACATACAAACAGAAGAACTGAACAAGATTCCATGGTCACTATATTTCATTTGCCATAGGTGAAAGAGACTAACAAGCAATATGCATATTTTTCTTTACATCATCTTAGGGTAAAAAATGCATCAGAGCAGCAGCCTTCATCAAATTGATGAAATTGGCATCCACTAAGAACAAACCATAGATTTTATTTGAAAAATATAGAGAGTTGTATAGAACTCAAGTATGCGACTCCAAAACAAACTTAGTTAAAAGTATATCAGAACAGTTGCCCTCAGTCGAGGCCAAAAGTCCTGTCAGTCATCGCATGTGACTTTGATCCATACTCTAGGGTCAATGTTCCGACCCCAAGTCCGAGATACTGCTTTTTCTGAAGTAAAGCCAGCATTGAGTCTTTTGCAAGCCCTCTCGATTTATTTTTATTTCAACACTAAGCATGAGATTTAGTAGAAAGAACAATTGTTTTGAAAGATACCTTGCCAGAGTTTTCTTTGTTCCCAACAATAGTTTGACAAGCCAGCCTCCAAGACTCAGGTTTCTGTTTAAAACAGCCACAGCTCAAAAGATTACTTAATTTCAAAATCTAGCACCATATTAAAGGCTCATTTTGATGAGAAAATGCTACAAAATAAAAGGGTCTTCAATCACCTATACTTCATTATTATTGCATCAGATATGTTTGAAATGAGTTCAATTCATAGAGATTAGCAAGTTAAATCACTTAGAAATTAGAATGTGAATCAGTTACAAGTTATTTGGAACATCATCCAAATCAACTCAAACTTCACCAATTATGGCTCAAACATTTCACTAATTCAATAAACACGATTGAATTTTCAAACAAAGTGATTCCAATAGATTGCATTATAATGTGCTAAGTATTTTAGGAATGATCATCTCTCAAATACTAGTAAAACTGCAGTGTTTCATGTATGTGCATGCGAGAGAGACACGGAACATACCTTCTTAAGATATTTAAGTTCAGTATTTGTTCTTTCATTTAAAAGATCCTTTCCTTCAATTATCTGCAACAGATGAATCAATATGAAGCATTGACACATGCATATAGACAAACACGTAGAAATCGATAATAACTTAAATTGATAAGCAATCGAAATTGCGCAAGCATAGTCATGTTAATTTGGTATGAGAAAAAAAATTGATACCTCAACAATGCAAGTTCCACAACTACCACCTCCCCCACAGTTCATCAACTTCCCCTGTTGTAACACTAAAAATTAATTTACAAAAACCACAAATAATAATGGAAAATCTTGTGGTGAGAAACATACATAGGTGGCATAAAGTTCAATCTTGTTATCCAACATGATGCTCCTCATCAGCTTCTCGCCGCTAATTGCTTTCGCTTTATCCACCGGAAACTTCCCCTCGCCGTCCGGTTTAGGCTGCAAACAAACAATTCTCATTTCAACTTCAATTTGTAAGCTAATTGCAGTAATAATTAATGCCGCACATACCGCAATGAATTCGAGTTCTATTTCAGGAGCAGATTCCGGCGAATTTGAAACGAAGGAAACTGAGTTGTGACGCCGCCGGGGGAATTTGTTCGTTGGATTCCCGATGCCGGCGGTGAGTGGAACCGGGGTGAATATGTTTAAAGAAGCCATTTCCGTTTCTGTTAAAATTGATTTTGTTTAAATATGAGTTGAATGTAAAATAATTTATGTTTGAATAGTTTTGTGTAAAATTGAGTTGAAGAATATGTAAAAATTAAATTTAAAATCAAAACTATTCTTCAATTCAATTTTAAGTTTAATCAATTTTTGAGATAGATTAATTCTAACCGAACAATTTAAACTCATTCCGAAATCAATTCTGTAACTCTGAAATTATTTTTGAGCAAACATAAACTAAATGTGTTTGTAATTTTGATACGTATTTAAGAATCATATGTTAAAAAAAATATCACTGATCTTAATCTTACATGGTTGGAATTTTTGTGATGGGTCAAGTTTAAGATTAGGTTGTGTGCTTATGCAAATGTGTTTAGGCAATTTAAGGATTACAGTTTAGGATCGGGTTGTGTTAGTTTAAAATTTCTTTAAGGTATTTATTGAATTGTTAGTAGGACAATTATGTGAATTGAAGGAAAAATGTTTTTTTAGGAGTAAGGGAAGATTAGAGTCAAGAAAATTAAAGGGAGATCGACAAACAAAAGAGCAAGTAGTCGACAAAGGCAATAACAAGCAGTCGATTTTAGTCCGTCGACAAGAATAAAATTCAAGACTTAGAGAATTTGGGTTATTTGTTTACGGCAACGGTTGATGTCGAAGCAAACTTATAGGCGGGATAGATTTTAAAATTCGAATATGACAGCGTATTTACCTCGGGATTTGGTAAACAACGCGGGTCTCTTGAAAACAAGTTTACAGGCGAGATCGACCAGGAAATCTCGGAGCAGCGCTTCAGTTCGCGTGCGTAGTCAAAGCGTTTTCAAAAGGGTGCGTTCGACTGGAGTCAAACATTTTAAATTGTAAAAGATAATGACAAAAAGACAAATTAAAGGACACGGAAAGCGTTTTAAATTGTAAAAGATAATGACATAATACTAAAGAAAGATTGATAAATAGGTTGGTTCAAACATACATTGTCTTTGTCTGACTCATTTCGCTCGTTTGCTTGGTTACTTTGAGTGACTACCGTGCAGGAATGTGAAAAGTTTGACCTTTTACAAAAGTGCACTAAGTGCTTTATTTAAAATACACATAAATAACTACTTTCTAAATGAGCTTTGTTTCCTTGCATGTCACGTGTTCTTCGTAACTTCCCTTCACGAACTCATGTTCTCTATTGTAACTTCTCTTTATGAACCGACGTTCTCCATTGTGGTCGAACCCACATTCTCCCTCCATAACATTTCACCTTTACAGCTTTAGGCGCTTATGGGCTTCTTAACTCTTTTGGGCTTCTCACCTCTCCCGGGCCCATTCCATTCACCCTAAACTTTTCTCTGGTCAACATGCTTATGTAATCGACTCCTCATAATTTAATGCTCTTTAATGCTCTTAAAAGATCCTTTTTGACTTTTGGTTTGGATTTCTCTCTTTATGAAAATCCCAACCAACAAATTGCCCCCTCCCAAAAAAAATAAATCATTTTCGACTGAAAGGGCAGAAACAAACATTTTAATCCTTTTCTCTTAGTGCGAAGTGACGTCATTGTAATAATGACTTTATTCTGCAAACGTTACATCAGCGACCACACAGTCACTCCCCTACTTTCTAACTTCAACTTTCTAGGACAATCATGGCCTCCAACTTACCAACTTCCTCACCTCAGTTGCCATCTGGTTGACACGTGTTAGTTGTGCGGCCAAAATTTTCTCCCACTTTCTTCCCAAACGTTTGGTTTCTTTGATGGTATAAATACCCTTTAAGTCCTTCATTTTTTTACGCTTTCTTTGCATTCTTAATCTCTTAGCTTCCAAACTCAGCGAACAAAACAACCTTTGTTTCTACTCAAAACTTTCAATCACCTTCCATGGTGTCTCCAAGCCAAATTGTTGAACACATTAACGCTCCTCACGCAATTAAGCTAGTTTCCGTCATGCCTAAGTTCCTCGCTGTTGATGGAAAAACCTTTGTGCTGGAGCCAAACACATCACACAATGTTTCTACTTTCCATCCTAATTTGTTACTTCCATTTGTCTGCAACAACACTGCATACGCTCTCATGGGACTCGCCCCTGATGAGATTAGGGCACTAAAAAATCTGAAAAAATGCTTCCATGTTCATAGAAGCACAAGGCCCCCTATCGTCCGAAAGTGTCCTTTAGATTTCTCCCACATCTACAAGACCTCAAAAGTTTTTCGCTCTACTCCTACTATCAACCAGGACTACGTTGCATGGTTAAATAAGGTGGAGAAAGTTAAAGGTGATATCTGGAAATCCCAAGGCATTTTTTACTTGATTCAACTTTCTAGGGTTGGCCCTAGTTACTGCAAATATATGATGATTTTCCCCTCTACTTCTAGGAGAGTTCCAGAAACACCTTCCCTTTTGCGACTGGTATGCTAACCCCCATGTTGTTCGACGTTGTGGATATCAATGGTGTTCGTCCTACAGGTGAAACTTTCATCCCTACTGCGGATGATGAAGATGTTATTCCCTTTGATAAGGACGTCGCTGACTTCACCAAGTACATGGAGCATTTTCACGCTAAGGATGTCGACACGGTGTTCGGTGAAGAGCACATCTCCTTTCTAGCCTTGTGAGTCTCTAAATATATTTTCTGTAGTAGGTCTCTAAAGGTGGTCAAACGTTTCATTATGTTGACGCATCACCTCCACATGGGTCGAACCACCTGCTTGAGCGAACTCATCCCGTGGTCGCTTTATAAATCGCTCAATGTGAGGGTCGACCAAATGACCTCCCTTGCACCAACTACCAACTACCAGCTATCAACTTATTGGGCCATGTCATTCGCTTCTTGATTGTCAATGCGCTTTACATGACTAATCGACATGTTGCCAAAATTTTGAAGTAATGACAACGGTCTGGCCATATACATTACCAGATGATCTTTAACGCATTTGTATTCTTTGGTCAACTATTTCACCACTACCTCTGAGTCTCCTTTAATATCAACATCTCTTATTCCAACATCTGACATAATTTGAAGACTAATTATTAAGGCTTCATACTCAACCTCATTGTTAGAGCATTCGTCTTTGATTTTATAATGAAATCTAGTTGGAATGCCATCTGGTGATAAGATAAAAATCCCTACCCAAGTTCCTTGTTTGTTTTTAGAGCCATCAAAATAATATTGTCAATACTTAGTGTTTACATAAGCTTCAGTAGTGTCGACCACTGAATGGTCGACTATAAAGTCTGCCATGATTTTCCCCTTGACTGCTTTTAAAGGAACATATGTTAACGAGTATTCAGTTAATGCAAGTACCTACTTACCTATTCGACTGTGCAAAATTGGTTTAGGCAACATATGTTTGATGACACCAAAATGAGAATAAACAGAAACTTCGACTGGTTTTATGTAATGCTTGAGTTTAGTACATAAGAAATACAAACATAAACATAGTTTTTCAATTGCATTATATCTAGTTTCAGCGTCATTTAAGACTCAACTAAGGTAATAAATGGCTCTTTTGACCCCATTTTCGTCTTCTTGGGCCAACATGCTTCCCATTGTCGACTCTGACGCTCCGATATACAGTTTCATGCCTTTGTTTCTGTTTGGAGGTGCCAGTACTGGATTGTTCATCAAATAATTCTTCAGGCGATCGAATGTCTCTTGGTGTTCATTTTCCCACTTGAATTCAGAATCTTTTCTTAATTTCAACAAAGGAGAGAATTCCAAAGTTTTGCCACTCATGTTTGGCACAAACCTCCTTGGGAAATTCTTTTTCCTAGTAAAGATAGGAGTTATTTCTTCGTTGTTGGCGCTTTGGCATTCAAAATCGCCTTAGTTTTGTTTTGGTTGATCTCTGTGCCTTTCTTGTTTACTACAAAACTCATAAAATCTCCTGCACGATCACAAAAAAGCACACTTTAATGGATTCATTTTTAATTCATATTCCCTTATTCTAATAAAAGATTGTCTAAGGTGGTCTAAATTACCAGCTCTCGAGGGTGATTTGACTTCAATGTTATCAATGTACACCTGTATGAAATCATGAAATATTGAGTTCATTGCTCTTTGATAAGTCGCCCCTACAATTTTCAAACCAAAAGGCATGACGACCCACTCATATGTGCCTAACGCCTGAGGGCATCGAAACACAGTTTTATGGGTATCATCTTCAGCAATGAAAATTTGATTATAGCCTGAATATTCGTACAAAAGACTCAAATATTCATATCCTGCGGCCGAATCGACCAACATTTCTACCACATGCATTGGATATTCATCCTTTGTGGTGGCTTTATTTAGATCTCTAAAGTCTATGCAAATTCTCAAAGTTCCATTTTCTTTATTACAGGGACTATATTAGCTAACCATTCAACATACCTAGTTGTCCTGATGAACCTGCTCTTTAACAACCGTTTGATCTCTACTTTGATTTTGGATAGCACTTATGGAACGAACCTTTGGCATCTGCTTGATTGGTATTTTTCCTGGATTTATAGGCAACTTCATTTCCACCATTTCTCTACTCAAACCAGGCATCTCATTGTAATCCCATGCAAAACAGTCTTTGAATTCTTTGAGTAATTCGATCACTTGATCCTTCATCTGGTTGTCGATCTTTATGCTGATGTAGGTAATTCTATTAATCGAACCATCACCCAGGTCAACTTCCTCTAAGGGCTATTGTTCTTTCATCTTTAAAACCTTGTCTCTTGGATCTTTCTCAAACCCAAAAGGCTCTTCTTTGTATATACAGTCAAGCCTCTAACTTTTTGAAGCTGCTGTTTGGCTTGATTCTCCAAGCTCTTCCACCATGACAGCCTCTGGTTCCATATTTGCAACATCTTCAGCCTGTAAGGTTGCATTTACTCTACTTTCAGCCATATAGGCCAAAATCCTTGTCAGAGCATTCGCCTCAGGTATTATCATGATTTCGTTCTTCTTCCCACCCACTGGGCTCAAACTCCCTTTATGTAGTTGGATATGTATCCAAGTTTTCTTGGTCCCAAATAAAAC